GAACTAGACTAGACTAGAAGTAGACTAGAACTAGACTAGAACTAGACTAGAACTAGACTAGAACTAGACTAGAACTAGACTAGAACTAGACTAGAACTAGACTAGAACTAGACTAGAACTAGACTAGAACTAGACTAGAACTAGACTAGAACTAGTCTAGTCATAGTCTAGTTCTAGTCTAGTTCTAGTCTAGTTCTAGTCTAGTTCTAGTCTAGTTGTAGTCTAGTTCTAGTCTAGTTCTAGTCTAGTTCTAGTCTAGTTCTAGTCTAGTTGTAGTCTAGTTCTAGTCTAGTTCTAGTCTAGTTCTAGTCTAGTTCTAGTCTAGTTCTGGTTTAGTTTAGTTTTGTTCTAGTTCTGTTCTAGTTCTGTTCTAGTTCTGTTCTAGTTCTGTTCTAGTTCTGTTCTAGTTCTGTTCTAGTTCTGTTCTAGTTCTGTTCTAGTTCTGTTCTAGTTCTGTTCTAGTTCTGTTCTAGTTCTGTTCTAGTTCTGTTCTAGTTCTGTTCTAGTTCTGTTCTAGTTTCTAGTTCTGTTCTAGTTCTGTTCTAGTTCTGTTCTAGTTCTGTTCTAGTTCTGTTCTAGTTCTGTTCTAGTTCTGTTCTAGTTCTGTTCTAGTTCTGTTCTAGTTCTGTTCTAGTTCTGTTCTAGTTCTGTTCTAGTTCTGTTCTAGTTCTGTTCTAGTTCTGTTCTAGTTCTGTTCTAGTTCTGTTCTAGTTCTGTTCTAGTTCTGTTCTAGTTCTGTTCTAGTTCTGTTCTAGTTCTGTTCTAGTTCTGTTCTAGTTCTGTTCTAGTTCTGTTCTAGTTCTGTTCTAGTTCTGTTCTAGTTCTGTTCTAGTTCTGTTCTAGTTCTGTTCTAGTTCTGTTCTAGTTCTGTTCTAGTTCTGTTCTAGTTCTGTTCTAGTTCTGTTCTAGTTCTGTTCTAGTTCTGTTCTAGTTCTGTTCTAGTTCTGTTCTAGTTCTGTTCTAGTTCTGTTCTAGTTCTGTTCTAGTTCTGTTCTAGTTCTGTTCTAGTTCTGTTCTAGTTCTGTTCTAGTTCTGTTCTAGTTCTGTTCTAGTTCTGTTCTAGTTCTGTTCTAGTTCTGTTCTAGTTCTGTTCTAGTTCTGTTCTAGTTCTGTTCTAGTTCTGTTCTAGTTCTGTTCTAGTTCTGTTTTAGTCTGTTCTAGTTCTGTTCTAGTTCTGTTCTAGTTCTGTTCTAGTTCTGTTCTAGTTCTGTTCTAGTTCTGTTCTAGTTCTGTTCTAGTTCTGTTCTAGTTCTGTTCTAGTTCTGTTCTAGTTCTGTTCTAGTTCTGTTCTAGTTCTGTTCTAGTTCTGTTCTAGTTCTGTTCTAGTTCTGTTCTAGTTCTGTTTCTAGTTCTGTTCTAGTTCTGTTTCTAGTTCTGTTCTAGTTCTGTTCTAGTTCTGTTCTAGTTCTGTTCTAGTTCTGTTCTAGTTCTGTTCTAGTTCTGTTCTAGTTCTGTTCTAGTTCTGTTCTAGTTCTGTTCTAGTTTCAGTCTGTTCTAGTTCTGTTCTAGTTCTGTTCTAGTTCTGTTCTAGTTCTGTTCTAGTTCTGTTCTAGTTCTGTTCTAGTTCTGTTCTAGTTCTGTTTCTAGTTCTGTTCTAGTTCTGTTCTAGTTCTGTTCTAGTTCTGTTCTAGTTTCTGTTCTAGTTCTGTTCTAGTTCTGTTCTAGTTCTGTTCTAGTTCTGTTCTAGTTCTGGTTCTAGTTCTGTTCGAGTTCTGTTCTAGTTCTGTTCTAGTTCTGTCTAGTTCTGTTCTAGTTCTGTTCTAGTTCTGTTCTAGTTCTGTTCTAGTTCTGTTCTAGTTCTGTTCTAGTTCTGTGCTAGTTCTGTTCTAGTTCTAGTTCTAGTTCGTTCTAGTTCTGTTCTAGTTCTAGTTCTAGTTCTAGTTCTAGTTCTGTTCTAGTTTTCTAGTTCTGTTCTAGTTGTTCTAGTTCTGTTCTAGTTCTGTTCTAGTTCTGTTCTAGTTCTGTTCTAGTTCTGTTCTAGTTCTGTTCTAGTTCTGTTCTAGTTCTGTTCTAGTTCTGTTCTAGTTCTGTTCTAGTTCTGTTCTAGTTCTGTTCTAGTTCTGTTCTAGTTCTGTTCTAGTTCTGTTCTAGTTCTGTCTAGTTCTGTTCTAGTTCTGTTCTAGTTCTGTTCTAGTTCTGTTCTAGTTCCTGTTCTAGTTCTGTTCTAGTTTCTGTTCTAGTTCTGTTCTAGTTCTGTTCTAGTTCTGTTCTAGTTCTGTTCTAGTCTGTTCTGTTCTAGTTCTGTCTAGTTCTGTTCTAGTTCTGTTCTAGTTCTGTTCTAGTTCTGTTCTAGTTCTGTTCTAGTTCTGTTCTAGTTCTGTTCTAGTTCTGTTCTAGTTCTGTTCTAGTTCTGTTCTAGTTCTGTTCTAGTTCTGTTCTAGTTCTGTTCTAGTTCTGTTCTAGTTCTGTTCTAGTTCTGTTCTAGTTCTGTTCTAGTTCTGTTCTAGTTCTGTTCTAGTTCTGTTCTAGTTCTGTTCTAGTTCTGCTGTTCTAGTTCTGTTCTATTTCTGTTCTAGTTCTGTTCTAGTTCTGTTCTAGTTCTGTTCTAGTTCTGTTCTAGTTCTGTTCTAGTTCTGTTCTAGTTCTGTTCTAGTTCTGTTCTAGTTCTGTTCTAGTTCTGTTCTAGTTCTGTTCTAGTTCTGTTCTAGTTCTGTTCTAGTTCTGTTCTAGTTCTGTTCTAGTTCTGTTCTAGTTCTATTCTGTTCTAGTTCTGTTCTAGTTCTGTTCTAGTTCTGTTCTAGTTCTGTTCTAGTTCTGTTCTAGTTCTGTTCTAGTTCTGTTCTAGTTCTGTTCTAGTTCTGTTCTAGTTCTGTTCTAGTTCTGTTCTAGTTCTGTTTCGAGTTCTGTTTCTAGTTCTGTTCTAGTTCCTGTTCTAGTTCTGTTCTAGTTCTGTTCTAGTTCTGTTCTAGTTCTGTTCTAGTTCTGTTCGAGTTCTGTTCTAGTTCTGTTCTAGTTCTGTTCTAGTTCTGTTCTAGTCTGTTCTAGTTCTGTTCTAGTTCTGTTCTAGTTCTGTTCTAGTTCTGTTCTAGTTCTGTTCTAGTTCTGTTCTAGTTCTGTTCTAGTTCTGTTCTAGTTCTGTTCTAGTTCTGTTCTAGTTCTGTTCTAGTTCTGTTCTAGTTCTGTTCTAGTTCTGTTCTAGTTCTGTTCTAGTTCTGTTCTAGTTCTGTTCTAGTTCTGTTCTAGTTCGGTTCTAGTTCTGTTCTAGTTCTGTTCTAGTTCTGTTCTAGTTCTGTTCTAGTTCTGTTCTAGTTCTGTTCTAGTTCTGTTCTAGTTCTGTTCTAGTTCTGTTCTAGTTCTGTTCTAGTTCTGTTCTAGTTCTGTTCTAGTTCTGTTCTAGTTCTGTTCTAGTTCTGTTCTAGTTCTGTTCTAGTTCTGTCTGTTCTTAGTTCTGTTCTAGTCTGTTCTAGTTCTGTTCTAGTTCTGTTCTAGTTCTGTTTCTAGTTCTGTTCTAGGTTCTGTTCTAGTTCTGTTCTAGTTCTGTTCTAGTTCTGTTCTAGTTCTGTTCTAGTTCTGTTCTAGTTCGTTCTAGTTTTCTAGTTCTGTTCTAGTTCTGTTCTAGTTCTGTTCTAGTTCTGTTCTAGTTCTGTTCTAGTTCTGTTCTAGTTCTGTTCTAGTTCTGTTCTAGTTCTGTTCTAGTTCTGTTCTAGTTCTGTTCTAGTTCTGTTCCTAGTTCTGTTCTAGTTCTGTTCTAGTTCTGTTCTAGTTCTGTTCTAGTTCTGTTCTAGTTCTGTTCTAGTTCTGTTCTAGTTCTGTTCTAGTTCTGTTTCTAGTTCTGTTCTAGTTCTGTTCTAGTTCTGTTCTAGTTCTGTTCTAGTTCTGTTCTAGTTCTGTTCTAGTTCTGTTCTAGTTCTGTTCTAGTTCTGTTCTAGTTCTGTTCTAGTTCTGTTCTAGTTCTGTTTCTAGTTCTGTTCTAGTTCTGTTCTAGTTCTGTTCTAGTTCTGTTCTAGTTCTGTTCTAGTTCTGTTCTAGTTCTGTTCTAGTTCTGTTCTAGTTCTGTTCTAGTTCTGTTCTAGTTCTGTTCTAGTTCTGTTTAGTTCTGTTCTAGTTCTGTTCTAGTTCTGTTCTAGTTCTGTTCTAGTTCTGTTCTAGTTCTGTTCTAGTTCTGTTCTAGTTCTGTTTTAGTTCTGTTCTAGTTCTGTTCTAGTTCTGTTCTAGTTCTGTTCTAGTTCTGTTCTAGTTCTGTTCTAGTTCTGTTCTAGTTCTGTTCTAGTTCTGTTCTAGTTCTGTTCTAGTTCTGTTCTAGTTCTGTTCTAGTTCTGTTCTAGTTCTGTTCTAGTTTGTCTAGTTCTGTTCTAGTTCTGTTCTAGTTCTGTTCTAGTTCTGTTCTAGTTCTGTTCTAGTTCTGTTCTAGTTCTGTTCTAGTTCTGTTCTAGTTCTGTTCTAGTTCTGTTCTAGTTCTGTTCTAGTTCTGTTCTAGTTCTGTTCTAGTTCTGTTCTAGTTCTGTTCTAGTTCTGTTCTAGTTCTGTTCTAGTTCTGTTCTAGTTCTGTTCTAGTTCTGTTCTAGTTCTGTTCTAGTTCTGTTCTAGTTCTGTTCTAGTTCTGTTCTAGTTCTGTTCTAGTTCTCTTCTAGTTCTGTTCTAGTTCTGTTCTAGTTCTGTTCTAGTTCTGTTCTAGTTCTGTTCTAGTTCTGTTCTAGTTCTGTTCTAGTTCTGTTCTAGTTCTGCTCTAGTTCTGTTCTAGTTCTGTTCTAGTTCTGTTCTAGTTCTGTTCTAGTTCTGTTCTAGTTCTGTTCTAGTTCTGTTCTAGTTCTGTTCTAGTTTTTTTCTAGTTCTGTTCTAGTTCTGTTCTAGTTCTGTTCTAGTTCTGTTCTAGTTCTGTTCTAGTTCTGTTCTAGTTCTGTTCTAGTTCTGTTCTAGTTCTGTTCTAGTTCTGTTCTAGTTCTGTTCTAGTTCTGTTCTAGTTCTGTTCTAGTTCTGTTCTAGTTCTGTTCTAGTTTTTCTAGTTCGTTCTGTTCTAGTTCTGTTCTAGTTCTGTTCTAGTTCTGTTCTAGTTCTGTTCTAGTTCTGTTCTAGTTCTGTTATAGTTCTGTTCTAGTTCTGAGAGAATATTTTCTTAAGTTTCATATAATTTCTTCCACTTACTTATAAATTTCCTGCATTTTCCTCCTCATTGCCTTCTCCATTATATTGTGCTCAACAAAGTTGGCCAAGTAATTGAGAACGCGATCCCCAAAATCCAAGGGCTCTTTCAGATTACTGAAAACAGTGGGTACATAGGCCGGCTCTTCAGGATTTCCCACTATAGTATCTATGGCAAATAGGGGTCTTATCATAAACGAAATAATGATGGGGCATTGAAAGTGGGCCCCTAAACCCAATAAAAAATCATTCATAAAATAACCCAATATCACAAGATCAAAATCACCTGCTTGGTGTTGGCTCAAAAACTTCTTCATTTTTGGATGATTCAAACTATAATTGGCACTTTTCATGGCCACACCAATCATATTGTTAAACTTTTTGTGCGTGGAGTCGGGATTCTCTATAGTCTTAGTTACAAAGTTCGCATCCAATTGTTTGCCCTCTAAGAGTATATACTCGTATTTAGCCTGAGGCAAAACATTAGGAAATGAACCCATAATGGTAACATTATGACCAGCAGCAGCTAAAGTTTCAGCGATAGCAGAATGTATGATAAGATGTGATTTAAAGGGTGAGGGGAAAACACCCAATATGCGTGCCGCCTGCGAGTAATTTGAAAGGCTTAGAATGATTATTGCTAAGGACCCAAATGGAAAATACATTATATTTAATTTAAGCTTCCGTTAATTGGACTGTTTTTATGGGATTTAAACAAAGACTGATAATGAATGCAGCTATTTGTGGTAATTTAAGTTCAAGCAAGAGATACCGCACAGCTTTCATTTTCTTGATAAGAAGTTATTCCTCTCATTATGTTAACATATGTTTTAATTAATTGTTGATCTCTTAATATTAAGGGGGTAAAGCTAAATGGTCTTAGCGTTTCAGAAAATGGTCTTTTAGGTTTTCAATTTGGAAGAAAATGAAACTGGTCACAAATTTCCGTTATTTAGGCCCTAAGGCCTGTAGTTTTCTCGTTAATGGTATAGTCTACACCAGTATAGTTTACTGTTCGAAATCTTCACTTACCCATACATCCTTTCAAGTTTCCTCTGCATCAAATTTCTCAATACCAGATGCTCAAAACCATTGGCCAAAAAGTTTTTTACTCTGCTGGCAAAATCCATAGGCTGCTTATAGCCACTATATAAAGTGGGTACATATGAAGCCTCCAAAGGATTTCCGATCATTTTGTTTATCGGAAATATCGGTTGCACCATAAACGATAAGATAATGGGACACTGAAAGTGGGCCCCAAAGCCTAACATAAAATCATTCATAAAATAACCCAAAATAACAGCATCAAAATCACCCGGGTTGTGAGTCTGTAGAAAATTCAAAATTTTCGGCTGATTCATAGTGTCGTTGGCCATATCAATGACATGCGAGATAATGCCATTGAATTTTCTATAAATGGAGGCTGGTTTATTAAGCATTTCCTGAGCAAAGTTGCTATCGAACATGGGGCCTTCAACATGTAGGAACTTGTATTTAGCCTTTTTGATCATATTGGGCACAGTAGCTATGACCGTGACCTCATGCCCTGCTTCGGCCAAAGCATCGGCTACAGCACAATGTATTAAAACATGCGACTTAGAGGGTGAGGGAAACACTCCCAGTATGCGAGCCGCCTGGGATTGTATAACCACAGAACAGGCGATGCTCACTAGAATACAAATTACGCTCGTTTTCATGATGCAACGCTTAGATAATATTAATTTTTTAATTAATATAATTTATTTAGATTTATTTCCGCTTTTTTTCAAACAATTATTTTTAAACGTCTATCTAGAAACCGCGTTCAACAACTACTGCTCATCCCCAGCAGATGCATTGTCTATTAATTAGTTTAGTTAAATTACAAAAAACTATTGCTAAGTAATTGCTTTTGCTCTTATTTCATAAAAAAATCGTTATCTCTCTTCTATAAACAAAACTCATAGCTAAAGTCTCTGTTTATATTGTTCTGTTTACAAAATTAAAGAGCAGTTCTTATCAGTATTTTCGTATTGTAGAGAATAAACTGAAGAGTAATGATTAAGTAGCCAGTTTATTATCTCTATTTGTTGTTAGTGTTTATGAGTATCAGGTACCCCATAGCGAAACTAAAAGTATTAAAGATTCAGTGAGCTACAAACAAAAAAGACTTGGTTGGTAGCTCACTGTAATATAGTCATAGTCCACTTAAGGCTAGTTAAATTCTAGATTTTTGTTGAAAGCCTTTTCAGTCAAGGTCTAGTTCAAAGTCTATTCTAAAGACAAGTTTGATGTCAATTTCAAAGTCTAGTTCAAATTCTAGTTCAAAGTCTAGTTCGAATTCTAGTTCAAAGTCTAGTTCAAAGTCTAGTTCAAAGTCTAGTGCAAAGTCTAGTTCAAAGTCTAGTGCAAAATCTAGTTCAAAGTATAGTTTAAAGTCTAGTTCAAAGTGTAGTTCAAGGTCTAGTTCAAAGTCTAGTTCAAAGTCTAGTTCAAAGTCTAGTTCAAAGTCTAGTTCAAAGTCTAGTTCAAAGTCCAGTTCAAAGTTTAGTTCAAAGTCTAGTTCAAAGTCTATTTTAAAGTCTAGTTCAAAGTCTAGTTCAAAGTCTAGTTCAAAATCTAGTTCAAAGTCTAGTTCAAAGTCTAGTTCAAAGTCTAGTTCAAAGCTAGTCAGTTTAAAGTTCAGTTCAAAGTCTAGTTCAAAGTCTAGCTCAAAGTCTAGTTCAATGCCTAGTTTAAAGTCTAGTTCAAAGTCTAGTTCAAAGTCTAGTTCAAAGTCTAGTTCAAAGTCTAGTTCAAAGTATAGTTCAAATTCTAGTTCAAAGTCTAGTTCAAAGTCTAGTTCAAAGTCTAGTTCAAGTCTAGTTCAAAGTATAGTTCAAAGTCTAGTTCAAAGTCCAGTTCAAAGTCTAGTTCAAAGTCCAGTTCAAAGTCTAGTTCAAAGTCTAGTTCAAAGTCTACTTCAAAGTCTAGTTCAACGTCTAGTTCAAAGTCTAGTTCAAAGTCTAGTTCAAAGTCTAGTTCAAAGTCTAGTTCAAAGTCTAGTTCAAAGTCTAGTTCAAAGTCTAGTTCAAAGTCTAGTTCAAAGTCTAGTTCAAAGTCTAGTTCAAAGTCTAGTTCAAAGTCTAGTTCAAAGTCTAGTACAAAGTCTAGTTCAAAGTCTAGTTCAAAGTTTAGTCATAGTCTGGTCATAGTATAGTCATAGTCTAGTCATAGTCTAGTCATAGTCTAGTCATAGTCTAGTCATAGTCTAGTCATAGTCTAGTCATAGTCTAGTCATAGTCTAGTCATAGTCTAGTCATAGTCTAGTCATAGTCTAGTCATAGTCTAGTCATAGTCTAGTCATAGTCAGTCATAGTCTAGTCATAGTCTAGTCTAGTCATAGTCTAGTCATAGTCTAGTCATAGTCTAGTCATAGTCTAGTCATAGTCTAGTCATAGTCTAGTCATAGTCTAGTCATAGTCTAGTCATAGTCTAGTCATAGTCTAGTCATAGTCTAGTCATAGTCTAGTCATAGTCTAGTCATAGTCTAGTCATAGTCTAGTCATAGTCTAGTCATGTCTAGTCATAGTCTAGTCATAGTCTAGTCATAGTCTAGTCATCGTCTAGTCATAGTCTAGTCATAGTCTAGTCATAGTCCTAGTCATAGTCCTAGTCATAGTCTAGTCATAGTCTAGTCATAGTCTAGTCATAGTGCTAGTCATAGTCTAGTCATAGTCCTAGTCATAGTCTAGTCATAGTCCTAGTCATAGTCTAGTCATAGTCTAGTCATAGTCTAGTCATAGTCTAGTCATAGTCTAGTCATAGTCTAGTCCATAGTCTAGTCATAGTCTAGTCATAGTCTAGTCATAGTCTAGTCATCGTCTAGTCATAGTCTAGTCCATAGTCTAGTCATAGTCTAGTCATAGTCTAGTCATAGTCTAGTCATAGTCTAGTCATATCTAGTCATAGTCTAGTCATAGTCTAGTCATAGTCTAGTCATAGTCTAGTCATAGTCTAGTCATAGTCTAGTCATAGTCTAGTCATAGTCTAGTCATATCTAGTCATAGTCTAGTCATAGTCTAGTCATAGTCTAGTCATAGTCTAGTCATAGTCTAGTCATAGTCTAGTTCATAGTCTAGTCTAGTCTAGTCTAGTAATAGTCTAGTCATAGTCTAGGCATAGTCATAGTCTGGTCTATTTCCAATAGCTTTTACCATTTTAATAGTTTTATCAATTAATTCTCATTATTGTTAATTATTGATAAACATTTTAGTTTCGCTATTCATCGTTTTGGAAAATTTTTCTTTCAAATCTAATCAATTTTAAAATCTTATCTACTGTTTACAAACTGACATGTGTTACCTTTAAAAGTATTTTGTAAAACATGGTCACCCGACCAATGTTATCTTTAAATTGCACTTACCTGTACATTTTGTTCATATTCGATCTTAAAACGTTCATTAAGACAACCTCTTCTATGGCGACGGAAAGCATATTCTTTACTCTACTCCAAAAGTCCATAGGCTGGCGGACACCACTAAATATTGTGGGAACATAAGAAGCCTCCAAAGGATTAGCAATCATATTGTTAATGGGAAAGATGGGCTGCACCATAAATGACACTATGACAGGACATTGGAAATGGGCTCCGATGCCCAAAAAGAAATCATTCATAAAATAACCCAATATCACCAAATCAAAGTCTCCCGCTTTGTGTTGTTGCAAAAAGTCCTGTATAGTGGGATGATTTATGGTGGTATTAGCCATGGTCATGACCGAGGACATAACGTTATAAAATTTCACGTAAGCTGGTGCCGGTTTATTGACCATCTTGTTGGCAAATTTATCATCGTACATAGCTCCTTGGACGTGTATAAAATTGTACTTGGCTCTCTTGTATAAATTGGGTACTGTTGAGATGACAGTGACGTCATGACCCGCCTCAGCTAAGGTATCAGCCACGGCACAGTGTATCAGCAGGTGAGACTTGGAGGGTGAGGGAAATAAGCCCAAAATTCTGGCCGCTTGAGTTTGTGGTACAAATAGTGAGGCCAAAACCAGAGATAGTCCTATGAAGCTTAACGTTAGCTTCATTTTGATCACTATTTAAAATTCTAAACTTTTCCGTTTTTTAACAATTTAAATTAATGAACGTTCCGTAAAGGTTGAACACAAACTTCTTAGTGGTATTCAAAATAAAAATACATTTTGGTAATCTTTAAAATAGCTAATTTGTCTGTTGCTCTCTCTCTCTCTCTCTCTCTCTTTTTTTCTTAACTACTGTTTTGAATAGTTTATGAAAGTGTTGGAATTATATGTATGATTTGACACTCCTTATTTATTTTTTTTTAAATAAATATTGTTAGTTGTTAATTAACAATAATAATAGAATATCAAGTTTTAATCTCATACATCTACGTGCTTAGAATTAACTTAGAATGAAATCAGTTGTTAGACTATTTTTCTCTTAAATAAGAGAACACTCTAAACATTCTCTGTTTTTAACTAAGGCTATCAACACTTTGTTCTGCTGTCGATTCTCAACAATTTTACATAAATACTTAAATGTATTAGTTTTTGAATTTAATTTGAATCGAATTTAGATTATTAGTAGACTATGACTAGACTATGACTAGACTATGACTAGACTATGACTAGACTATGACTAGACTAAGACTATGACTAGACTATGACTAGACTATGACTAGACTATGACTAGACTATGACTAGACTATGACTAGACTATGACTAGACTATGACTAGACTATGACTAGACTATGACTAGACTATGACTAGACTATGACTAGACTAGACTAGACTATGACTAGACTATGACTAGACTATGACTAGACTATGACTAGACTATGACTAGACTATGACTAGACTATGACTAGACTATGACTAGACTATGACTAGACTAGACTAGACTATGACTAGACTATGACTAGACTATGACTAGACTATGACTAGACTATGACTAGACTATGACTAGACTATGACTAGACTATGACTAGACTATGACTAGACTATGACTAGACTATGACTAGACTTTGAACTAGACTTTGAACTAGACTTTGAACTAGACTTTGAACTAGACTTTGAACTAGACTTTGAACTAGACTTTGAACTAGACTTTGAACTAGACTTTGAACTAGACTTTGAACTAGACTTTGAACTAGACTTTGACTAGACTTTGAACTAGACTTTGAACTAGACTTTGAACTAGACTTTGAACTAGACTTTGAACTAGACTTTGAACTAGACTTTGAACTAACTTTGAACTAGACTTTGAACTAGACTTTAAGCTAGACTTTGAACTAGACTTTGAACTAAACTTTGAACTAGACTTTGAACTAGACTTTAAGCTAGACTTTCAACTAGACTTTCAACTAGACTTTCAACTAGACTTTCAACTTGACTTTGAACTAGATTTTGAACTAGACTTTGAACTAGACTTTAAACCAGACTTTGAACTGGACTTTGAACTAGACTTTGAACTAGACTTTGAACTAAACTTTAAACTAGATTTTGGCATACACGTTGAACAAGACTTTGAACTAGACTTTGAACTGGATATTGAACTAGACTTTGAACTAGACGTTGAACTAGACTTTGAACTAGAATTTGAACTAGACTTTGAAATAGACTTTGAACTAGACTTTGGACTAGACTTTGGACAATACTTTGAACTAAATTTTAAACTAGACTTTGAATTAGACTTTGAACTACACATTTAATTAGACTTTGAACTAGACATTCAACCAGACTAGACTTTGAAGTAGACTTTGAACTAGAATTTGAACTAGACTTTGAGCTAGCCTTATAACTAGACTTTGAACTAGATTTTTAAGTAGACTTTGA